ATTATTACTTTTCCAGTTGTCCTACAGTTCTCTTAAGCTGTCTTCCTGTTTTTTAATTGTTTTTTCCTTTTGGTTTTCTGATTGGTTGATTTTTTCTACCCTGTCTTCTAATTCACTGATCTGGTCCTCAGCTTCCTCTACTCTGCTTTTTAAACCTTAGAATGTGTTTTTCATTTTTGATATGTCGTTTTTTTATCTCTTCTTGATGGTTTTTAATTTCCAATTGGCTTATTTTCAGAGTCTCTATGTCCTTACTCATGCTGTTGAGCTTCCTCAAGATCATGGCTCTGAATTCTAGCTCTGTTAACATGCCTAACTGCTCCACATTGATCTCATCTTTGGTGGATGTCTCTTGCTTTTTCATTTGGCTTCTGTTTCTGTGTTTCACCATTTTGGCTATCACAGTGGCCTTTGGAGCCTGTTAAGTGTTCCCTGTGGGTATTGGTGTTCTGCTATTTGTGGCTCCCTCTCCTGGGTTTAGATGAACGAGGGAGGACCCCCGTTAAACACTACTGTCAAGTCTTACTTTCTTGGTTAAGGTTGCTAGCCCAGGAAAGGTATATTATCCTCTAGCTTTTTGCCTGGAGGCTAGCAGTTGAGGTTACTTGATGGGTTTTTGGTTGTCAGTTGATTGAAAAACTCCCTCAGGTGCTCAGCATAAGGGGATATCATGAGGGTGGGGTAGATACTGGTTGTTAATGGGCTTCAATTAGCACGCCAATGGCCTACAGGGTGGGGTTGGATCTCTGAGGGAGGGGCTGCTGCCTCTCCCCAGAGCCCTGAGAAGGAGCAATATGGCCACAGCCCTGTGTGGCAGAAAGCTCTGAGTGCTGTCCAAATTCTGCGTGTCCCAACACAGCCCAAGTCCAGTCTGCCCTCCCTCTGCCGGAGCCCAAGGTGAGTGGCTGTGGCTTTTTTAGCCTCTGTCCCGGCTCTGCGCTGTGGACCCGCTTGGCAGTGTAACCCGAGGGCGCCGCTCCTAGCTAAGGCCGCTGCTGAGCTGCTTATCGTGGGCTCCCAGTCCTCGCCTCGCACCTTCACAAGCCTACCAGGATGGAGTCAGTGTCCCTGGTTATATGGTCCTCGCAAGCTGCTTTTCTGTTGGTTTTTCCCGTCCATTTGTCTGTGTTATAGTTGTAATTCCAGTTTGGTTCTGGGAGATGGTCTGTGAAGCTTCCATTCACTCTGCCGCCATTTTGGAATCTCCCCTGCTTCCCTTTGAAGTTTGTCAATCTAACAACCAATTTGTACTTCTTAATCCCTTCACCTTTTTCAACCATTCCCCCAACTCCTCTCCCATCTCACAACCATCAAAAAGTTTTGTATATGAGTCTGTTCTGCTTAATTTTTTTGTAGATTCAGTTGTTGATAGATATGTATTTATTGCCATTTTATTGTTCATATATATATTTTTAATCATCAGATAGAGTGGGAGGGAGGGAGAGAAAGACAGAGAGAGAAACATTGATGTGATAGAACTGCATCGACTGGTTGCCTACCGCACGACCCTGACCAGGGCTGGGGACAAGCCACAATCGAAGTATGTGCCCCCACCAGGAATCAAACCCGTGACTCATTGGTCCTTGGACCCACACTTTAACCGCTAAGCCAGACCAACCAGGGCTTTTTGTTCATATTTTTGTTCTTCCCCTTCAAGAAGACCTTTCAACATTTCATAAAATACTGGTTTAGTGGTGATGAACTCCTTTCACTTTTTCTTGTCTGGGAAACTCTTTTTATGTGCATTGATTCTAAGTGAAAGCTTTGCAGGATAAAGTAATCTTGGTTGTATGTTTTTGCTTTTCATCATTTTGAATATTTCTTGCCACTCCCTTCTGGACTGCACAGTTTCTTTTGAGAAATCGGCTGACAGTCTTATGGGAGCTCCTTTGTAGGTAAACTAACTGCTTTTCTTTTGCTGCTTTTGAGATTCTCTCTTTGTCTTTAACCTTTGGCGTTTTGATTATGATGTGTTTTGGTTTGGGCCTCTTGGGGTTCATCTTATTTGGGACTCTCTGTACTCCCTGGACTTGTATGTCTGTTTTCTTCACCAAGTTAGGAAAGTTTTCTGTCATTATTTTTTCAAATAGGTTTTCAATTTCTTGCTCTGTCTCTTCTTCTTCTGGCATCCCCATGATGCAAAGGTCGGTATGCTTGAAGTTGTCCCAGAGACTCCTTACAGTATACTCATTTTCTTGGATTCTTTTTTCATTTTCGCTGTTTTGATTAGGTGTTTTTGCTTCCTTATATTCCAAATTGATGGTTCATTTTTTTGGCTTTACCTATTCTAATATTGATTCCCTGTAAATTATTCTTGATTTCAGTTAATGCCTTTTTCATTTCTGACTATGCAGCCTTAATTTGTGATTGGTCCTTTTTTATGCTTTTGAGGCCCTCACTAAGTTCCTAGAGCATCCTTATTACCAGTGTTTTGAACTCTGTATCTGTTAGATTGCTTATCTCTGTTTTGTTTAGTTTTTTTTCCTGGAGTTTTGTTCTGTTCTTTCATTTGGGGCATGTTTCTTTGTCTCCTCATTTTGGCTGCTTCCCTGTGTTTGTTTCTATGTGTTGGGTAGATTTGCTATGTCTCCTGGGATTCCTAGGGTAGCCTATTATAGTCAGTGTCCTGCAGTATCCAGTGGCACAGCTTCCCTGATCACCTCAGCTGTGCCCTTGAGGTGCACCCCTTGTGTGGACTGTACACCATTCTGTTGTAATTGAGTCTTGATTGCTGTTGGCACATCAACGGGAGAGATTTACTCAGTCTGATCAGCTGCAAGGACTGGCTGTGACCACTGACCACTGACCTCTGACTACCTTGGAGGACCAGCTGTGTAGGGGCCCACCACATAAAGCAAGACTTACTTCAGCAGGGCTCTGGTACCCACTGAATCCACTCCTTGAGTATGTGCTTGTGAAAGTGGTTAGGTGGTAGTGATTTGGCATGGTTTGAAGTTGTCCACTGGATGTGTTGGCTCTGGGGCAAGGTCAGCCACTGCCTGTGTTCTTCCCAGGGCCACCCAGCATAAGTTACAAAGTGATCTGTAGACTGCTGCTTCTTGTGCTGGGTTTGGAGGAGCCCAGGCAAAACCAAGTTGTGAACTAAGGCTGACTGCTCCTAGTGCCAGGTCTGGGGTCACTTAGCGAGAGGTATGGAGATCACTGGGGCCAGATGCTGCTTGTTTGAAAGAATTTAGGAAATTCTGAAACAGGAGCCAAGATAGGCCATTCCTTTGGTAGAGCCACTGGAAACAGCTTGGGTGGGCCTGAAAATTGGGTGGGGCAGGGTCTCACAGAACCACCAGGAGCAAACAGTGTGAACCAGGTTGCTGGAGTCTCAGACATGGTGGCCGTCCACAGGCTCTGTGGGGAAAGGGCTCACCAAAGAAACAATGGCCTCCACCATCACATCTGTCTGGGAGAAAGTTGCCTCTCCAGCTCTTGCCCCCATGCCAAACAACTCAGTTATTGCCCATACGTCTCTGGTGCCTTTCAAGCTGCCTCCCCCATGCTGAAACCTGAAGGTAGCAAGTCTGAGTAAGTCCTTTAAGAGGAGCTGCCTGAGACTCCAGCAACCTCCCTCAACCTCAATTCCCACTGGTTTTTATAGCCAGAAGTTATGGAGACTTCTCTTCCTGGCACTGGAACCCTGAGCTGGGGTGCCTGGTGTGGGAAGGGAACCCTTGCTCCTCACAGAGGACCTTCACAGCTGAAGAATCCTCCTGATTTGTTTTAATCCACCACACGTGGGTGTGGGACCACCTCGTCTGCACCTCCACCCCCCCATCAGTCTCGATATGGCTTCTTCTTTAATTTTGTAGTTGTAGGCCTTCCATTCAGCTTGATTTCAGGGGTTCTGAAGGATGTGTGTTCTGTAGTTTAGCTGTAACTTTGATGTGGCTGTAGGAGGAGAAGATACCACATTCACCTACACCACCATCTTCGCCATGAGGCTTTTCTACAGATGGGAGCTTGCCCAGTAATCTGAAAACTCTATGGTGGCTTTGTTTTCTTTACATGTTCAAGAGGAGAAAGAACATTTACTTAATGTAAACCTCCTGCCATTCTTCTGTAGCTGTTTCACAGAGACCACAACAACTACAGAATTCTCAAGGTTCAGGCCTGCTGAGGGAGGCGAGAAAAGACTGGAGCTCGTTTTATTGGGGGCTCCAAACTCTTGGAAAGGGTGTTTCCTTGGTCAAATTATAGCACAATCATCTCCTTCTTTAATTTTTTTTAAGGGACATTTTACTGGAAAATTGATGCTACAACAGTAAGAAAACACCTGCTAATGTATCAAAGTGTGTTACTCTTGCTATTAATAACTAAAATGACTCCTCTAGCCCTGGCCGGTTTTGCTCAGTGGTTGGAGCGTCAGCCTGTGGCCAGAGAGTCCCGGGTTCAGTTCCGCTAGGGGCACGTACCAAAAAAAAAAAAAAAAAGAAAAAAAGTTAACTCTCTGCCCTGGCCAGTTTGGCTCAGTGGTTAGAGCGTCGGCCTGCGGTCCGGAGAGATCCGGGTTCAGTTCCCGCTAAGGGCACGTACTTCGGTTGCAGTTTGTCCCCGGCCCTGGTTGGTCGTGCGGGTGGCAGCCACTCGATGTGTCCCTTCACGTTGATGTTTCTCTCTCTCTCTCCCTTCCTCTCTCTCCCTCCCACTTTATCTGTACAAAAAATGGAAAAATATCCTCGGGTGAGGATTAAAAAAATAAATAAAAAATAAAAAAATAAAACGACTCCTCTAAGATAACTAACATTTTATCAGCACTTACTCTGTTCAGAACATTGACATAAACACTGCAGTTATGCTGTTCTATGAAGTAAATTTTTATCTCATTTTACAAATGAGAAAACTGAAATACAGAGAGGTTAAATAACTCACCCAAGGTCACACAGTTAGTGGCTGGTGTAGATTTAAATCCAGTCAATATGGCTTTAAAGCTCTAATTACTAAGCAGAGACAGGCAATGGGGTTAACATTTCTTGGAACTCTTGACCTACCGGATATAATGAACACATGCAATCAGAAGACATCCCAAATAGAAGGAGAAGAAGATGAGGAAGCTGAGAAGAACGGCTTTCACAAAAACGGATTCTGAGGGAAGAGAAACAACTTTAGTCAGGAGAAAAGAGGACCATGTTTGGAACACAACAGCCTCAAAAGCCTATCTTGGTCATAACTCATTCGTAAGTCCTGAAATACCCCCATTTAAAGTGGCAAAGCTACTGGAGATCATCCAGACATTATCCACCAATGGCTGCCTTTCACAGTGATGGATCCCCAGTGGAAGCTACAGGGGGACTTCTGTATACAACTTCAAAACTAAGTTGCCTCTCTTTCTGGAAGAGATTTAACAAATGCTTTAATTCTTTCTTCTATTTCTAAGGTCAACCTTAGTTTTCTTATAATGTTACTCTGGAAGGATAACATTAGCACTGAATTATATGGTCAACTGCTTGACATAGGAATCTGTCTACTGAACCCTTGAACCAATACTGACTTTTAATGGAAGGAACAACGGTCACTTTAAGGTTCTTTGTTCGTTGTAGATTCCAGGTCTGGTTCTCCTTTTCTGGTAAAAAAAAAAAAAAAAAAGAACAAGGATAAATGGATCAGATAATATGTTCTTGGCTTCTCATCTGAACAGTTGTTCAAAAACTGTCCAAAATGAACTCTGGTTGCTGAATTTTCTTTTAGAAAGAACTAGAGAAAAACCCCACTCCCAAACCTTCACACCATCTAATATCCCTTTGGTTAAACTTTCAATTTGGCCTTTGCCTGGGTGCATTTTGATAGCACCAACTGATGCAAATGAGACTTCAGCCTCCCTGCTTTACTGAAGAAAGCTTGACCCTTTCCCTGATACCCATGTGGTTCAACATGCCACAGACACACAAAGAAAACAGCCACAAAAATAGAAGGCTATGGCATCTTTTAGCTTATATTTTCTAGCCAATGAGAACTTGTTTTTCTCTTATATAGTCATTGAAGAGCTTATAGTTTAACAAAGAGCATTAGACATTAGCGAAACTCTATAGAGCTATGTAATTAAGAGATTAAAGAATACAGGAACAGAAATTTCACCTAAATACCAAGGGAACCATGTTACACTCAACAATAAACATCCTCTGTGCTGATTACATATCACATCAGCTGCTGGGGACATGTGTTTTCAATCAACTGTCTATTCCATTCCCAAGGTAGTTACTGGATAACTGGATAAGTTACCCATGGCTATTTGTACTACACCTCAGAGCTCATACAACCCCTGTTATTGGGACAAGTAGTCCCACATTGCTATCTTGCAAGGTACAATTTTGGCAACTGAAATTGAGAACTCAATTTTCCATGCACATCCTTGTGGAAATAATGACTACTGAATAATATAAGTGAATCCATTACTACTGGCTAACTGAACCAATCCTAGAAAATGGATCTTGGTCTGCAGTATACAAATCATTGCTTCCTAGTAGTAAATCTTTGCTGAGTGAAGAGCCAACATCGTGTGCTCTGAGGGAGAATAAGATTTTGAAATGATGCAATGCACTAAGTGACATTTTGTAGTGTCATTAATACCTCTAGAGCTAACATTTTCTTCCCTTTAGTGTTTTCTCAAGTATCTTTCAGACTGCCTTACCAAGTCACTGCTGCTGGCCTTCACTTTGTGGGAACTAGAAATGGTCATAAAAAGCCAAAGTGGATTTTTGATTTCCATTCCACTTGGTCAGGTTTTTTTTTTTAAATACTTTTATTGATTTTTTTTCTTTTTTTTTTTTTTGAGAGAGGAAGGGAAAGAGAGAGAGAAAAATATTGATGTGAAATGAAACATCAATCAGATGCCTCCTGCATGCCCCATACTGGGGATCGAGCCGCCAACCTGGGCATGTACCCTGACCAGTAATCAAACCAGCAACCTTTTGGTGCTCGGTACAGTGCCTGACCAACTGACCCACACCATTCAGGGCTCCCCTCGGTCAGGTTTTTCTAAGTAGCCAAGTATTCCTCACTATCTCTTACCCTGGATGAAGAAGGATCCTCCACAAGCATAATCTTCAGGCTTTATCACAAACACCACGAAGAACTGCTCACCTGGAAAATCCTTCTTCTGCATAAGACATAATAATCTTATGATATGTTCTTATGTTCTTATGATAAGAAAGATAGAAGAAGGGAGAAAGCCCATGGCAGTGGGGTGGGAGCAGAAAGAAAGAGGAAAAAGAAGAAAAGTAAAGTTCCCCCTTGCCTCCTAACATTCACATATCCATGATCTACTCTAGTTTACCCACAATCAAATAATTGCTACATCGGAGAAATTAAGGTAAGTAGGTGCACTACTTCAATTTCAATCTATCTTGTGCTCACTTGAGTGCTTAAGACTGTCATAGACACCATATAAATAATATCAATAGCTTATGTTTAATAATTAATAAGTGTATATTGTTTTAAAAATTAATAAACTTTATTTTTAAAGCAGTTTGAAATTCACTGCATTAAGATTTTATTATTTTAAAATATAATGATAAATGACTCTCCTAAAAGTCATACAGTCAGCAGTTAAATAAAGTTTAGTTTAGGAAGGCAAAGACAAGTCAGGAGACCTGAGTTAGTCTTGGTGTGACTTTCTCTAAGTGTGCCTCTTTGTGCCCCCATTTCTTTATCCGTGAATGAAGCGTGGTTGGCAAGATGATCTTTAAGATCTATTCTATTTCTACAGCTGTTTTCTTTTAACATCCCCAAATTTTTGGTATCATGTTTTCTGGTATCACTGACAAAATGGTCCCAAACAGAATCATAGGCTCAAAAGAGAAGTAATAATTTATTGCCAAACATATTCAAAGTAAAGATGTACTGGTGTGTTTTGTACTTCATTAATTTAGTGTCCTGCCTGATGTAAAATATGAGTTCCCTACTCTGGTTATTTTTCTGTCCTTTTATATTGGGGACCATATAATGCTGGGATGCTAAGGAAGAAATAAATATTAAAAACAAGAGCAGATACTTGGGATGTCAAATCTGAAGCACTAGAAAATTAAAGCTGGACTGATAATATTTTTTAGATTTAATTAACCTCTCTTCACTCTTTACTGTTATTCAACAAATAGTATCACCTTACTCCAGAGAACAGATCAAGTTACAGATCCCTCAAGTAATACCACAAAGTCAGGAACAGAATCTCTTACAAAAAATACTGGCATGTGTGTATATTTTTGTTATACAATTACCACTGAAATAACTTAATTACAAATGCCAAAAGGGCAAACTGCCATGCAAATATGTTCCATATTCCTTTAAAAAAATGTATTGGGGTGACATTGGTTAATAGGATCACAAAGGTTTCAAGTGTACATTTCTATGATACATGATCTGTATATTGCATAGTTATGACCACCACCCAAAGTAAAGTCATCTTCTGTCACCAAATATTTGGCTCCCTTAACCCCCCACCACCTCACATTTCTTGCAGCTATCCAATCTGTGCAGAGTTGAAGTCCCTTTTTGCTTACTATTACTGGTACAAATGATTATTTGACTATGTTTAATTGCTTTAACTGGATGAGATAAACTTTACCCTGAACTGACATCCTCTATTGAGTAGATTGACATATTCTGCCTTTGTCTTTCTAAGCAATCTGTCAGATATATGTCCCACCACATCGTGGGCTCCAAGATCCCCCAGGGCGGAATAGGGCACCTGGCAGAGTAGCATTGTCCATTATCGTCCAAATTTTTATTTCAGGCACATCAATCTTTCTTTTTAAAACCAGTTGGAAAGAGAAGAGGCCCAAGGCACACAGTGAATGGCAATCCCTTCTGGATGCTGCTCCAGGGGTAAACTGACGCACCATCATCAACAGTAGTGACCACAGAAGTGATGTCTCACCTGTAGTGTGATGGCAGCTCTCTTGGTCATGGACTGATAGATACCATTAAATTCCACATTGTGGTCAAGGTCATACACTGGGCACTGTAATGCACATGGGGGATAAAATGGAAAGCATCACTAATGTCATATCATGTTATGCTACACATACTACACACATGGAGCAGGGGTTCCTTACTAAGCCATAAACCATATTAAGTTTCCCCCCAAAACAGTCATGAAACAGTCTCCTAAGACTTTGTACCTTGTCCTCTAAAGTCACGGTCACTTTATATCAAAGAGAACTGAAAGTGGTCTTAAGGTTTACAATACCTTTCCATTTTTTAATTAATACCCCAAAGAAAAAAGGCCTAATGTTACAATAAAAATTTTTAAATTAAATTTATTGAAGTAACAGTGGTTAATAACATTATACAAATTTCAGGGGTATAACATTTTAATTCACTGTCTGTATACTCTGATGTATGCTCACTACCAAGAGTCTAGTTCTTTTGTTAGCATATGTGACTCCCTTTACCCAACTCACAATTTCCCCTCCTCCCCCTCCCATTCTGTTGTCTGTATCTATGAATGTTTTTGTCTTGTTTTGTTAGCTTATTTGTTACTTTTTTGTTTTCTATTCCATGTATGAGTGAAATCACAGTTTCTGTCATTTAAAAAACTTAGAACAAGTGGTAGGTTTTGACATTTTCTCCTGTAGTCCACAACTTCGCCTTCCTTGTACTTTGTCACAATCATCCCTCCCTCCTTGCCTCCTTTTCTTCCTTTGTTTATATTGGTAAGGAGTCAACTATTTTCTCTTGCCCAGAGCAATGTCTCCAAACACTGACTGCCCAAGATACTGTTCTTAGTATTTAGCAGTTTGAAGAGATACATAGATATGTCTTCCACCTTTCATTGATCCTGGGACAATATAATGGTCCATACTGGAAGGTTGACAAGTTATTAAGACTCACCATAATATTCTGGATGGAGACAACAGAACATGGATAAGCCACTTTAGACACAACTTTAATGATAACTGAGTCCACATCTTCAGGAAATTTGTATAGAAAATACTGAGAATAAGAAAAAGAAAGACATGATTTGTTTATATTAAGAAATGTTTATAGTCATGAACTCAAAACTATTTTCACCTGAGTAGGATCATTTTCTCTAATATTAGGCACAAAGCTCAGAAGCACAGCTCAGTAAATCTCCATTAATTCAGTCATTCATTCCTCTCACAGGTATAGAGCAACTTCTCTCTTCAGGGCTCTGTGCCAGACATCAGGACGATATCGGTGAATAAAACAAAGTAGCCGTTTCATATGATATTGCCATTTAATTTCCTATGGTTTTTCCTTTCTCAACTATACTTGGCTACACTTCATTTCCGTTTCTACTTAGAAGATCCCTCCAACCTTTGAATTAGGGATATGTGGGATGTAATATGAGACAATATTTACTTCCGCATGGTCATTTTGAAATAGGAGGCTCCACAGTGAAAAGCAGGTGAGCCTGTTCTTCAAGAATCTTAACCACCTTTCATTAGGCAAGAATTAGCACTAGACCGACCCTTCTCCTAGAATTTTTGCTAAAGAATGTGTTTCCTGGCTGGACTACAGTAAGATGACATTTAGATTCGAAGACCAAACTTTACATCTAGCCTCCTGAAATATAGGTTCATAATTTTGGGCAGGTTAAGATATCTCTAAAAGTGTTTCTTCAATATCATCAGAATCAAGAAACATGATAGAAAGAGGTTATACTATTTACCTATTTAGATTATAAATAAATCCCCTGAACAAAATTATTAACTCTAAGTTTTAAAGACATAGGTAATAATGAAAAAAGGGGACTTCTGCCCAATAATTATAAATATGGTAACTGGTCGAGACACTTTGATTAAGATTTTGACGGAACCAAACAAAACAACCTCGATATTTCAGGACTCTAATAAATCTATCACTTTAATGGCAAGGCAAAACTTAATTTTTGCATTCCAACATCCTCTTTTCTAACCTTATTAGGAGAACCAGAGCAATAAAAATAGAATGTTTTTCAATAACCCAAAGCCTTCTGATGGGGGAAAGAAATCGCAAGATTAAGGACTGTCATTAACACTGCTATTTGGAAATTTGTTCACGCCTTGTAACAGAGGGCAACAATCCCAAGAACCCATCTCATTTTGCATTCATTTTGGAGCTTGATTCAAATTCATACACTACAGGATTCCCAAAGGTAAATCCTCTAGAATTACCAAGAGATGCTCTTAGTGCTTAGGGAAACCAACTTTGTAACTCAAGAGCATTAATTACTATGATTACGGTTAGCAATAATGAACAACATACATACCCATATATTATAGGAGTTGGTTTTGTGCAAGCAGTAGACATCTCCTGAAGCCTTATCTCTATGCCAAAATATTATCAGTCTTCTTTATCTCTAAATTACCATAAACTTCTGACCCTTGCCTTAATAATCTACTTTTTATCAGAAATAAGCAAATAATAAGTATCCAAAGCAATGTCTGGAATTTAGGCCAATAATCATCATCTTGGGTCCTAATTACCTGCCCAGTTGTTATAACCTGCTTTTATCTCCAAGAATAGAGGTAGACAGTGATGCTGAAGGTTGTCTGAGAATGTGCAATAGTTTGGGTGAGTTTATAGGAATGGAAAATCTTTTCGACAGTTGAAGAGGATATAAAATTCAGGCCAAAATGGGAATAAGTAATAATAAAGTAAGACTTTCATAGATATCAAAGAGTTTCTATTTTGTTTTATCAATTTGTTCTAAGTACATATTCTAGCTTGGGGTTTATATACAAACTACGTAGGCTTTAATATTTACATACTTTTTTAAAAGAAAAGGAAGCCATAATATATGATCATCACTGATTTTCAATCTACAAACTGAAAGTGTATTACAGCATTCTGTATATCATATTTACTGTAGCTTTGAACAGGACTATTAGACTATATTCATTCTGTAGTTGGGGTGCAAGCTTTTCCTTCCCTTTCTAGATGGATCCCATTGCACCGAGCAACCAGCGCTTTCAAATATTTCATGAATTAACCAGCCAATGTTAAGGGCAATGGTTTGCGAGTCTGTAGTCCTCTTGTATTACTGGGTGGCAGTATATAGGCATCGTGGAGGTTTTCACTGCTGAGAAATGTAACTAAAAAAATGTGCCAGTACAGATCTGGGGAGCTGATTGTACACCTCTCTTCCCAACTCTGTGTTCAATGACATCATGTTGGCTATTGAAATTGAAGACGGTAAAGACATTTATGCCACAGAAATGGGCAAATGTTATAAATCAGTTTTTTTTTTCCTCTGAAGACTATTTGCTAAATATTTATCATCACACAGTGGTTGTAATAGATTTATAATAGTGCCCATATAATATGTTAATCCCAGTTTTAGTATATACAAAACAAAAATTAAGTAGCCATTTATGACCAAAACTATATTATAGCCTGCAGAAGATTTACAATAAATATCAGGACATTAAATAAATCTGTTTTAAACTATTGCATAAACTTTACTCTTTGAGAAACCATGAAAGAAAAAAGAAAGGTAGCTATAAGTGTCACCAGAAAAGTAGCCTGAATAATGAAAGTTTTCATGTATTCATTCTATATGTGATTATGGTTTAATGGAGAACACAACACAAATATCTAATTCTTATTATACGTTTTTCAGCATTCCTGTTCTCTCTTTACACAGGAGAAATGAATTTATTCCATCCGCAACACTGTAGAAATGAAAATTTGTTTTATTTTACTGCATCTCCAGGTATTTATGTATTCGTTTAGTGTTGGCCTTCCCCTTGCTGTTTCCCTACCCCAATCCTGATTATAAAAGGTCCATGAAGACAGCAGTTGTATCTTTCCCTTCTTCATCCTGCTATTCCCAGCACCGAGTACAGTCTAACACCGCTTGGTGCATAGTAGGCACATCATCTGCTGAATGACAGTTGAACTAAGGAACATCTACAAACAAACATCATGCCTCCCATTACACACCAGTGCAGGTGCCAAGATTAAATGTTGTGTCCAAAATTCTAGTAACATGCATAACATTCCAAAAATATAAATATATCTTAAATTGTGAAATATGAAGGGCAACAAAACATGCTGACTCCACCTGTTACCATAGTTTCTTTGGGTAACACGAATAGTAGAATCGTAACCTTGACCCTCTTTCACTTACCTGAGGTTGAGAGGGGCTGGCAGTGAAGTGCAAGGCAACGTTTGTCCTGAGAAATGTGAGAGGGAGAGGGGGAAGTGAGAGAAAAACATAGCAAGTTAGCAAGCAAAAATTATTTATTTAAAAGATAACCATCTGAAACCAAATGCCAGGAGAGCCTTATCCTTTGTGAAGGGAGGTCTGTTCTCATCAAACTTGCAAAGTAAACTGCATGGAAATTTGCTGGTTTTACCACTCAAGAATGACCAAATTGGGGTGAGAGTCAATTTCATGTCTTTAAATACCTATAAATACTTATACAAGTAAGTACTTTATTTATTTATTTTTAACTTTTATAGACACTTCAGCCTTTGGATTCTCTTAAGATTTTATAATCAAGCACAGGGTTTAGGTGTTAGAAGTGGGCTGAAAGAGAGAGAAAAAGAAGATTTGAGGTTCTTTTGAACAATGAAGATAACACCTCAAAATAATTTTGATGTATCTATGGCAAAAGATTATTATTTTTTAAATGTGGTGACCATGGGAGGGTCCCTAGGGATAGGAGTATGCTCTTTCTGCCCCCAAGCACTTCCAAAATTGTCTGCCACACCAGCTGAAATTCTCCTCCAAGATTTGGTCCTCTTTGGGTTAGACATTGCCCTTAGGATCTCTTTTACTATTGATGATAAAATCTTAAGAGAATCCCCAGGCAAAGTGTCCATAAAAGTAAATAGCAAATAGCACCACAAGAACATAATGGAGTTATTTTCTCTCCAGTTAGTAATTTACTGTGAATTATTATTTTTTTAAATCCTCACCTGGAGATGTTTTTTATTGGTTTTGAGAGAGAGAGAGAGAGAGAGAGAGAGAGAGAGAGAGAGAGAGAGAGATGTGTGAGAGAGAAACATTAATTAGTTGCCTCTGTATGCGGTCTGACTGGGAATTGAACCCGCAACATTTTGGTGTATGGAAAGACACGCCAACCAACTGAGCCACCCAGCCAGGGCTGCTGTGAATTATTTTATTAGGATCCAGCACTAATGAAAGGAGGGGCTGAGGAGCATGCAGGAAGCATACATTTGTAGCAGAGTGCTGTCTGGAATGAATGTATGAGAAACAGTACAAAAGACAAGTTTGGGCCTCGTTACAGTGTTGTAAGGGCTGCTTTAGCCTTTTATCCTTTCTGGGTTTTTCCTCATCTTCAGCCATGAAGATCATTCATACAAACCCACTGCACAATCTCAACATCCCCACCTGGGGAATGACATGCCTCCACCCCTCCAATGCGGCCAGTATTTCTGGGAATCTGAACCTGAACTTCTAGGAATTTTAACCTGAGCTTATTCTGGGGTCCCTCCCCAGATTCATAGCCTGGTGGGTGCTCTCTAAAGAGTCTTTTTCTCCACTCCTAATATTCCTTTTATAAAGATTAAATAGTTTTAAGCAATCCTATTAAAGACTCCTTTAGAAAGAGCATGTCAAAATATTTAAGGAAGAAGTTTATAATTGGAGGTGTTTAAAAGTCATGAAGTTTGAGCACTATTTCTAAAGGTAATGACTAACAATTTAGGCTGTTGGCAGACTGGACTCAGAATTTAGCAGTGGATGCAATTTTTATATATGCACTCTCAACAGAAATCATCTTCAGTGTCAAGGACTGGTTCGGCTGAAGCATGGTTGATAGCTTGTGGCCTTAGGTTACCTGAAGAGCTAACGTCAGTGTTAAATCCAGTTGTGTATGTGTTCCTGAGATGCCACCGCCAGAGTGAGGATCCACAGTATCGTGTGTGGCTAGGTAGCACCCTCTTAGTGTGGGGAGTGTCATCTGCTGTTACCAGGGCAACAGTTCTGTTCATTGCCAGGTCAGGGGAACAAAAAGGACACACATTTTCTGGGCTAGCAACAGGGTGAGACAGGATGAGATTTCCAGAAGCAACCAGTTTTCTTTGGCCAGAAATTTGTTTTCTTGTTCTCCCCTATCGCTTGAATTCCAGTTGTAATGTAATGTACGGACATCAATGTGAACTCTCTGAGCTTTTCTTCTTGCTATTTACTTTTTCTTTGCTAGTACAACACATACAAACACTTAAGACATATTGTTTTCTTTAAGATGGTCACGCTTAAGTCCTCTCTTTGTCATGGAGTCAACAGTGTGTACTAAATAAACCCATTGAAAGTTCTGCTTCCTGCCCTGGTTGGTTTGGCTCAGCGGTTGGAGCATTGGCCTGCGGACCAGAGAGTCCTGCGTTCGGTTCCCACTCGGGGCACGTACCAAAAAAAAAAAAGAAAGAAAGAAAGAAAAGTTCTGCTTCCTTCCCCCTAGGCTCTGAGGTGTGGAAGGTTTATTTGATCAAGGGTCATTAGCCAATAGAGCAAAGCCAGTTGAGACTCATATGTACCTTTAATTTTAGAGAAAGAAGTAGAAAAACTTCATTTTATTTGTTTTAACCACAGGAAACAAATGTTTATTCAATAAGTATAAGAAAAACTGAATTAGTTCCCTTGTTTTGAATAGTTTGAGGAAGCGGGAAGAGAAAAGGAACAGATGAAGTCAAGAGAGACGGGTGTGCAGATAAGACAGGAGAGAGAGGCTCATGGGGAAGACGGAGAGGAGAATCCTATACAGGAGAGTAATAAAACAGAAGAAAAAGGAAAGGGAGATGGGAAGTAAGGGCAAGTGAAAAGAGAGGAAAGGACAAAAGCTAAGTGGTTTTTGAGGTAAGGACTGTGAGATTCACGACATATTGTCCACTTTATGATAGCAAGTCCCTATCACAGAGCAGAGAAGGCTCTCAACCCCCACTTTGTTGTTAAAGGAAATTATATCCTGTGATTCACTTGGACTATGGACTTCAGAATATCACTTCCTGTACCTACTTACTGCCATCTGCCATGAATTGTCCTCGAGCACCCTAACTCTCCCACCCAGGCTCTGGTCCTCTGTAACCCACTGCATTTCTCTAGCCTAAATATAAACTATGCATGCATGCACTGAATCCTATCCTTTCTTCCCGTCTCTGAGACTTTGTTTCTACAATATTTAACTCTCCTATAAATTTTATCAGCCTTTCTATCCTTTGGTTTATAAATATGCTCTAGCCTCAACCATTTTCAAAATAAAAAAGCCCCAACAAATTTCCTCCCTTTTCTCTATATTTCTCTCCTCCATGTCATTCTATACTCTCCATGCCCTTCACAAACCAGCTTCTTAAAAGAGTATTCTGCTTTCATTTTCATTCATTCTTTGCTCTTCCCACTGCTATCAGGATCCCTTTCTGCCTTAAAACATATCAGGATCCTTTTCTCACAATTCCCTTGAAGTTGCCTTTGCTAAGGGTAACAGTCACCTCCTAATAACTAAATCCAGTGACTTTACCTGTGACATTTGACACTAACAACCACTCCCTGACTTGAAACTTGTTCCTGCCTTGGGCTCTATGACACCTGCTTTCCTGGGTTTTCTTCCACATGTCTTGCTATGCCTACTCAGCTTCTTTTGACAGTTACTATTTCTTAGACATCACTTAAGTGAGAGGGTTATCCACAGTCTTGTTTTTGATCTCTTCATTTTCCTTAGCCATGTGCATCTTTGTCTGTCTGTCTATCTGTCTGTCTATCTGTCTATCTATCTATCTATCTATCTATCTATCTATCTATCTATCTATCATCTATCTATCATCTATCCATCTATCTATCTATCTACCTATTTAGTTGACATAAAATCACATATGTGTTCAGTTGCCACAAAACCTATAGAAATGCTACTATATCTCAAGTGTCCATGTCCAGCCATGTTCAGGGCTATCTCCTGAGCTCTAATCACAGTAATCTAATCCCCTGCTGGGCTCCTACCCTTGACTGGCTCTCAGCACCTCAAATTCTACCTGATCAAAATGGAACGTCCTATCATTTCCCTCATGCTGACCCACTGTATCTGTTTGTCAGTAACCTCACCAGACTTTGGACATCAATGTTAGAGTCACCTTGGATTCCTCCCTTTTAATTACTTCCCATTTGATTGACCACCAAGTCTTCCTGATTCTATTGGTGTAAAAGTAACCTGGATGCATCTGCTTCCACCTGAAGCACCATCTTTTCCTGACAGCATCCAACAAAATTTTTGAAAAGTAATGTAAATCGTCACTGTCGTTTATCCCAAAATATCAAAGGGTGATTACACGACACAGAACAAAATGGTCTAAAAATCTTTTCACTCATTCATTTCCTGAAAAAATCTACTTCTCACAGCATAGTAGCTGAGCATGCTTACTCAGAAGTCTCTCTCAAAACAAAGACTCATGATCTCTCCATAGATGATGAGGGTTGAAGGCTGCAAGTACTCATGTAGACTATATTTTTTATTCTGCCACATATATTTGTTGAATTTTGGAGTTATCGCCATATATATTACTTGACTCCCTTTTCCTCTTTAAAAATTGTTGCTGCCACAATATGTTCAGACTCTAATCAGTTGTTTTTATTTATTTATTTTTTCTTTATTGATTTTAGAAAGAGAGGAAGGGAGAGGGAGAGAGAGAAAGAACATCTATGAGAGAAAACATCAATTGGCTGCCTCCTGCATGCCTCCAGGGCACTGGGGATTTGGCCCCAGCCTAGGCAAGTGCTCTGACTGGGAATCGAACTGGTGACTTCTTGGTGCATGGGTCAGTGCTCAACCACTGAGCCACACTGACCAGGCTCTAATAATATTTTATTTTTTCTATTGAAATAACTTTTCATTGTCCTATTTGCCTCTATCCTCTCTTCAGTTCATCTTCCACATTGACACTAAGGTCATTTCTGAAGTCAGATCTTTTCATGTTATTCTGTCACTTAAAATCTTTTAGTGGTTTCCATAACCTGAAAGGTAAAGTCTGAATTCCCTAGTGCTTCATGTAAAATCTCAAACACCAAGGACTGGGTACTGCCTGTTTGCCCAGTCCTGTCCCTGTAGGTCAGCCTTAGGCAGCATGAGGACCAGCCTTCCTCTACTCAGTCCGCTATCTGTAACTCAGACTTCTCTCCTGAGCATCATGATGGTATATACCAACACTCTGCCGGACGCCTGTA